TAACTAAACAGAGTCAAGTTTCAATTAAAAGTGTTATTATAATGATTATCTTATCTATCGGGTGACATAAGACAGACAGTCAAGATAATTACGGAGACATATTCTGTTCAAACTTCGCAAACAGTCACTTTGGTACGTACGTACGTGTTTCGCCCCCGAGCTGAACGCAAAGTTTGACAAGACAGTTACGCCGCCCGTGATTGCCGCGAACGTTTCAACATATGTAGATTCACAGTTAACAATCAGAAATACTTCAAAATTATGTTAGTAATTCCCCCTCATTTGTATTCAATTTGATTTAACTTACAAAATTAACAGGCTTTGTATACTTTACGCGTTTTGTAATAAATCTGTGCGTAATATGTTGCAAAGCTGAAGTGTTCAGAGTTTTCATGTGTATATTAAATAAGCTGAGATCAAATAAAAAAGTTAAGGTGGTACTCTGAACAAAGAAGTGATGGCGTTCACATACACAATTACACGCACACGTTAAACGAAACTATGCCTTGTCAGTCAAAACGTTATCAAAAATATCAACAAAATTTACAGGTACATTTTTTTTGTCAAAGTCAACAATATTTACAGCACATACCCACATCGTCACTTCGTTCTTCACAAAGTTCCAGCTTAACTTATTTGATTTAAGTAAATGTGTAACAAGAAAGATAAAATAAATATATGGTGTAACTGACAAACGGGCCCCCTGGTGATGGTGAATGACTGCCACAGCCAATGGACATCTGCATCACAAGAGTCACAAGCGCGTGGCCCCCCTTAGGCTTAGGATTCTAGGTAACACCTAGAATCCCTTAGAGTTACATAGAATCACCCCCCCTCCCCCCAGAATCAAGAGATCTAACACAACTTTAGAATAAAAGTGACTACTCAAAATTCCTGCCTACCTTAAACCCTGAAGAAAGAGCGGAGAAGAGTCTAAATTTTTAACAAAAAAAGAGACATCATCGTTACCAGCCATTGCCAGCCTATGAGTGCCATTCCCCCAAAATAAGGGGGGCGCTGGTAGGGTTTCAGGTAACCTTACTCACTCAGTGAAAACGCAATCACGAAAGCATTATATATACCATGTCACGTTTTTATCCCGAAGAAATTCTATTATAACAATAATGAAAAATAAAGTGTCGAAACTATCTATCTATTCTGTCGCCACATACAAAATATGTTTGGTTGTTATCAATATACATTTAATAGTGGCGACAGTTTTTTTGTGTTATTGATAGAATAGATAGTTTTGACACTATTATTTTATGGTAATAAACAATGAAAAACTATTTTAAATTGTTTCATTGATTTCACTAATCAAAGAAAGAAAAAGACACGCAAACGAATATAAGATACTGTTTGGTCTTTACTTATTTACGTATATATAGCTCAAGGCCATTAAACTTTATCTTCACAAATCCTGTAATGTGCCACATTAACTTTTGGTTTACAAATACAGTATGGGTTGCGATATGTAAACCCATCTGTACCGCATGTAGGAATCCTGACATAAAGGATCTTCATGACGTATACAAAGTGGTTCCAAAGCAGTTCCAGTTATAACCGTTTTAAGAATTATTGGTATTATTAGTTTCATTGTTAAAGTTTTTTTTTAAATTCTGAATTAACTATTATAATAAGAGGTGTCCTTTTTAGTAACTGTTTGTAACAGTTTTCATTTTGTTGTGGTAAAGATTTCAAGCTATTGTAAGAATTGCATTAATTAAATTTTCTTACAATCTGAAGTAATTAATAAACCATGTTACTTTATATTGATTTTGAATTAATTATGTTACTATCGGCTGGTAGGTGTTTCGTTATTTTGTACAAATTAAATCAATTACTGTAACTAATCATGAAATTGACACATTAGATTTGGTTATAACTATGAAGTGCCGTATTATATAATATAAACACCATAGAAGAAATCAATTATTGAAACTATATTAAAAAATAGAAAAGATTTTCATGGTAAATAAATGACCAAGTAAGAATCCGTACGGGTACCGTACTTAATTATAATCCGTAATAAATAAGGACATGTTCAAATAGGTATTTTCTGTAGCTTGGGCAATTATTACCAAGACTAATAGAGCTGCCATAGTTCTGATACTTGTCATCATTTTATCCTTCTACCTTCTGAGGGAAGGGAGGCTTAATATTTTGCAAACGGATCTCTCAATCAAAACCAGTAAATTATAATTGACTAAGGTTTTATTTTATAAATGAACAAACTATAGCTCGTGGCTTCACTTGCGTAAGATTATTTTGATTAGATAACAAAAACCTATGTACTTTTATATATTCCTGGCAAACTACGAGTATATGCAAATTTTTATGATAAACAGTACTACAGCGAAAATAATACGAGCAGAAAACATTAACCTTTAAATACATCTAATCAGTGCGTAAACTCTTTTCCCTCGATATTCTCTTTCTCAACTAATTATCTGACTCTACCGCATTTACGAAACCAACAAGTAAAAAAAGTATAGTTTTAAGAAACTAAAAAACACGCTTTCTATAGAAAACCAAACTAAAAAATAGAAAATAAATTTGAAAAAAAGCGTTGGGTGCCTGTTGTTAATAGTAAAAAGCATTTTTTTGTCAAATGTGTTTAATTTGGTGGTTTTCGTTAACCTTAAAAAAACGAATTCTGATAAAGCTAATCGTTTTAATGTTATTGGTCATGACACAACAATACTACCTAATACATTAGGTTTATATTAAGTATAGTTAGTTATTAGTTTTCATTTTGTTGTGGTAAAGATTTCAAGCTATTGTAAGAATTGCATTAATTAAATTTTCTTACAATCTGAAGTAATTAATAAACCATGTTACTTTATATTGATTTTGAATTAATTATGTTACTATCGGCTGGTAGGTGTTTCGTTATTTTGTACAAATTAAATCAATTACTGTAACTAATCATGAAATTGACACATTAGATTTGGTTATAACTATGAAGTGCCGTATTATATAATATAAACACCATAGAAGAAATCAATTATTGAAACTATATTAAAAAATAGAAAAGATTTTCATGGTAAATAAATGACCAAGTAAGAATCCGTACGGGTACCGTACTTAATTATAATCCGTAATAAATAAGGACATGTTCAAATAGGTATTTTCTGTAGCTTGGGCAATTATTACCAAGACTAATAGAGCTGCCATAGTTCTGATACTTGTCATCATTTTATCCTTCTACCTTCTGAGGGAAGGGAGGCTTAATATTTTGCAAACGGATCTCTCAATCAAAACCAGTAAATTATAATTGACTAAGGTTTTATTTTATAAATGAACAAACTATAGCTCGTGGCTTCACTTGCGTAAGATTATTTTGATTAGATAACAAAAACCTATGTACTTTTATATATTCCTGGCAAACTACGAGTATATGCAAATTTTTATGATAAACAGTACTACAGCGAAAATAATACGAGCAGAAAACATTAACCTTTAAATACATCTAATCAGTGCGTAAACTCTTTTCCCTCGATATTCTCTTTCTCAACTAATTATCTGACTCTACCGCATTTACGAAACCAACAAGTAAAAAAAGTATAGTTTTAAGAAACTAAAAAACACGCTTTCTATAGAAAACCAAACTAAAAAATAGAAAATAAATTTGAAAAAAAGCGTTGGGTGCCTGTTGTTAATAGTAAAAAGCATTTTTTTGTCAAATGTGTTTAATTTGGTGGTTTTCGTTAACCTTAAAAAAAAACGAATTCTGATAAAGCTAATCGTTTTAATGTTATTGGTCATGACACAACAATACTACCTAATACATTAGGTTTATATTATTAAAAATACGATAGTTTTTAATTGACACCGCTGTTCAAAAAAGAAAAATTGAAATAGAATACCTAGTTACTTGTACTTTGAAAACGTAGTAGTTAGAGCCTTCAAAGAGTATCAAACCCGAACGTTCCAGATGTATTAGTTGTCACAAAAGTTTTTCCTTCAGTTAGCTTAACAAGATAAAAGTTGTAACAACCATCAAAAGGCAAAGCCAAGTCAAAGAGTTTGTTATTTATTTAGTTTCTTTATCATCATCACGGTAACTTAATCTTTTGGAAGTGTTTTTTTTTTTAACTATGGTTAAATATCTATATTCTTATAAGTTTTTTTTTTGGATATTATTCAAAAATAATGAAACAAATTCATCAATGCCGGTTAGTGTGGTTTTCTTCTGAAAATAATTGTATCATTTCACACACAATTTCGGGTATATTTAGGACCCCGAAAGCTTCTTTAGCTAATGTTTCCTGTTGTCATCGGCATAAGTATTTAGTCACTGCACTCTTTTAAAAACTCTTTAGAATCTATGGGAAACAGTCTGCGGGTGACCAAATATTAAGATTATAAAACACTGTAGACTGTGGTGAGAATAAGAAACCTAGTAATTTTCTTATTTTATAGGAAACATATAGCTTTATTATCCCGATTACATTATTACACTTTCATTAACATAAACTTGAATTATGTCTTATGTAAAGAAGTTTATCTGTAAACTAGCTGACCCGCGCAACTTCGTCTGCGTCTCTCAATAGTAATAAATTTTCTCCGTTTTTGAAACATTCTTCAGTGGTGCTCCGCTCCTATTGGTCTTAGCTTGATGATATATAGCCTATAGCCTTCCTCGATAAATGGGCTATCTAACACTGAAAGAATTTTTCAAATCGGACCAGTAGTTCCTGAGATTAGCGCGTTCAAACAAACAAACAAACAAACTCTTCAGCTTTATAAAATTAGTATAGATTAAAAGAACATTACATTTATGAGAGGAACGTGATTAATTTGGCCATAAACCTAAGTAAAAATATGATTAACACATTCACCGCTTTATTACATTTGGTAAAATACTTTAAAATGCAAAATAAAACGATTGGAATAGTCCAATCGTTTTATTTTGCATTTTAAAGTATTTAAATATAATTATACAGGATAATAACGCAAAGAACTTTTCATACAGAGACTGACGAATAAGAGAGAAGATGAATAGAATTACAGCGTCCTTAGTTATAGTTTTTAAAATAACGATATTCACAACGATAATTAAACCGGTGCTATCTAAATGCACATGTCCAGAAGTACTTTATCCAGTATGTGGGTCAGACGGTATTACCTACAGAAATGAAATCTGTAGGAGATGCCATAATATTACACTTGTACGTACGGAATTAGGAGTATGTGAAGAAGAGGATACTAATCAGTATAATTCTAAAAGTGAGGTTAATGGTGAAAATAAATCAATAGATGCAGAAGATTTAGAGAAGAAGCCACAAGAGAATAAAACTGATTCAGATTTTCCGGATTTTTTGGACTACTTAGATGCTAATGAGTAATTTAATTTGATTATCTATACACAGAAAATTACTTGCGCTGACTAAATGATACGACCGCTGAGGCTACAATCTTGGAATTTTCGCTGCTGATGTTTCTTATGTTGTAAGCACCGACTAAGAAAGGTTTTGAGCCGACTAAGGAAAAAACTACGCAGAACAACAGCACTACAGAGAGAAGGAAAACTTGACAAAAACCCTATACCAGCTCGTCTAGGCCAAAACCTCCTTTCTAAGGAGAGGCGTATGTCCAGCAGTGGACTATTGATGATTGATGATCATAGGAAATTATTGGTTGTTTATCCTGTAGGATATTCTAAGGAAAGAAAATATTTTAAGTACATTTATAGAAATTATATTTGGGCTATTATGGTAGATGGAAATGCAAAAAATTAAGCTTCAATTAAAATTCAGCTAAAATAATAAAAATGGAAGCAACTGATCCACTATGGAGGTATAGAAAATCTAATTATTAGATAAAATTAGAATTCTTTCCCTACCTTTTTTTTTCTACGTATAGAAATCTTCTCGGGAGGTCACCCCACTGGAGTTTTCGGTGTGACAGCGTGTCGGTATCGAATTGATTAAAACCAACCGTATGCCAAATTAGAGGAAAGTGTGACCAGCTCTTAATAAGGCATCACCTTAGGGTAAAACTCATTTAGGCATCGCCTCCTCGAGGCTACACACTTAGAGCAGCATGAGGGCCCAGAAAAGTGCTTCACCGTGACCGGTTCGCCGCCGGTGAATTGAGTATGAGTGAAATTTATTTAACCAGTCATTCGATTAGTTGTCGAATTTCCGTTTTTAGTAAAAAATGAGGAATAGCAGAGGAAATAAATATTACTTATCCACCTTAAGCTGTCATTGAGGAGAAAAATATTATGACACTATTAATTCATTATTAATTGTAAAACAGAATAATTCTTATATTTCTCGGAACAAAAAGGCAATAAATTTTACATAATGTTGGTGTTCGAAACTTTAGTCTTCATTAATCCGGTACTTGTTGCACCTATGAACTAAATAATATATGTAGTAGTAATAAACTGTAGGTCTATCTGTCAATCACTCCAGCTATCCATGAGAGCTTATACACCTGCCTCATCTACCTATGTCTCTCAGATCAGAAAGTTTTTAGCTGGAGTTTTTTACTCATAAACTACCTCCCTGTAATTTTTTTATGTCGGTAGGTAGAGCAGCTATCAAGATTTCATGATTAGTTAGTGAGTATCCTTTCGCTTTATCAAACAGCAACATCAAAATATTTTTTATTTGTTAAATTTTTTCCAGTTGACGATGTTCTGACGATGAGAATTTTAGCATTAATTTAGCAAAAAATAAACATTTACTTACAAAACAGCAATCTAAATTCACCGCTGAAATTTTAAGACAAACACTGTAAAGCAAATTTGATACATGCCACGTCAACACCGTTCGGTTTTTCTTCACTTTTTCTCGGAAAAAGGAAGGTGGTGGGTTAAAAGGAAATATAGTCTAGTACAAGCTTATAATTTTTATGAAATACACATAAACGTTTTAATAGAGTTTTATTTTCGTGATTCACTCAAGTTTTTTTAATAATGAAACAAATCACTCATTCATTCACTCGAAAGGCCGGCAACGCGTTTGTGACTCCTGAGTTGCAGACGTTCATGGGCGGCGATAGTCACTTTCCATCAGGTGACCCGTCTGCTCGTCTGCCCCCTCTAACATAAAAAAAAGTCACCCCGTGTGTCATATACAAACATAATATGATAAGGTATTATATATGAGATATTTAAAATGTTTATTTTCAGGAATTAGTTTCCAATATTTCAGCACTTTTGTAAGCGCCATGGTCACAGATGATCTAAGTGACTGCGGGTTACTTAGACTCAGTTACTTAGGTCATCATAAGTATCCCGGTTATAATAACTTATCAAGTGAAAGTGACCATGGTTGTTTGAATCAATTTACAGTCATTTCATAATCATCAACAGCCTTTAATAGTCCACTGTTAGACAAATAACTCTCCTTAGAATAGAGGTTTGTAAATCTCAATTTATTTAAAAATATAAAGAAGCATTTTTTTCCAACTTCTGAAGGACAATTCTCGTAATAAAAGTTCGATCAAAATTCAGTGCCGATCAAGATTCAGTCGATCTTACAATTATCATAAAAGTTATTTCCGTGGGTATTAAATATCCAATGTTGACTTTAATGTGATTATATCGTAAAGTGGTCGAAAATTCAATCGGTAATCTGATAGTCTTAGTAATACTTTAGTTTGTTACTTTGAAAATACCTTTTATGACAGTTGCAATATGGAGAGCTGATCGGAACTAAATTTTGACTGAACTTTTATTGCAAGAATTTGCCCTCTGGGTAGTTGTTTGAATCGGTCAATCTACGCCATGAATTGAGAGCTTAAAGAGGTTTAGTGGCTGCAATAAACTCATCTGCCTTTATAGACTTTCATGGAGTTCAAAAATATAATTCAACTCCATTGGTGTATCATAACCTCTTCAATTCACATTAATTATTGTCACATTTAGCCATACTTAGAACTATTATTACTTTTAGCGTGTTTTTAAATGAGCATGTAAGAACTAGTATTAAGTATGTAAGCATGTAAGTACTTAATTTATGTATATATTTAAAAATATTATAAAATACATAAATATGTAATGTTAAGTTAGTTTGTGTAAAGCTTCAAAAACTAAAAAAAAATTGGCAGTGATTGAGCTCAAATTTTGACACGATATACCATCCGCTTCTAAGATGGTTGTTATCTGTTGTTCATGCCATTTTTGTCCCTCATTTCACATCTATTCAACCGAAACGTGCCATTGCGAAGCGTGGCTGGGTACAGCTGGTTGATCATATAATATGCGAAATTATTTACTGGAAAAGAACCTATTACGTAGTAAGAAATTTTGAACAGAGTTTGAGAAAAATGTTAACACGAAAAAAAAGAAATATTTCAAAGAACTCAATAACTCGATTTCTCTACCCTACATGTGTATGAAAGTAGGGTTGTCACCGATTCTTGTATTTCTGTACGTTTGTGTTTGTCTGTTTGTATGCGCGTGAGTTTCCGAACTATTGTGTGTACGTGCATGCGTCTGTAAATATTGTAAACACCATCAATTTTCTGATCGAAATAGTGTACACGTCCGGTTATCGCTTAAAGTTTCAGTTTGCCATCATCTATATTGCCCAATAGTAAGAACCTCTTAGTTATAGTACACCAGGTTATAGATTAAAACATCATACTTTATGAATGCATCTTTGTGATATTTCTACACTCTCGATTATTGTCTTAGAAGTAACCAATAAATAAAAACACAAAAAAAACCGGCCAAGCGCGTGTCGAGACACGGTCCAATGAAGGGTTCCGTTGTTACCTATCACAATAATGTAAACTAATACGAGAGATTTTTGGTGTTTTACTGAGTGCTTAATGGAGTCAACGTCCCACATAGGACGATAGTAACACATTTCGGTCCCACGTAATATGGGTTAGCCTATTGCCGTTTACAGGGCATATTTGCAAACTCCATGCTCCTACTGCGAAATACGCAGGACAACAGCACTGCAGAGAGAAGGAAAACTTGACACAAACCCTATACCAACCCGTCTGGCCAGCGTGGTATAGTAGGCCAAAACCTCCTTTCTAAGGAGAGGCCTATGTCCAGCAGTGGACTGTTAAAGGCTGTTGATGATGATGATGATGATGTTCCTACTGAGAATTCGGAAAAAGCCATTAACACTTTTGCCCACACACAACACATTCAATATAAAATAGATATAACTAAAATACAAATGAGACAAGGGCGTTTTTTTATTTCATATTAGAAACATTTCACGTTTCAGCGGCCTGTAACGTCCAATTAGTTGGTGTACTATTACTCATAAAATTATAAAGCCTACTTAGCTGTGTACGGACGACCATGACGAAAGTAAGTTTTGCAATTTTGGATACAGAACCCTAAAAATGCAAAGGGATTCTATAAATTCGGGTATCAGTTGAGATAGAAGATTTTGGCTTTCATTGCCTGTTCGAGACATAAATGTGGTACTTCAAGATGAAACAGTGAATATACTGGACAACTCAAAGAACAGTGAATAAACTAGAAATGCGATGTAAGCCGGGCAGGTGCGCCGTAGTTACGAGCAAGCGTGCTCATGCAGCAGCTTCATAAAAACATTATCGCTATGCGAAGTTGCGCCATAATTGCGTGTCGAAAACGAAGCCAGAACTGGAATTTGTCCAAAGACAACGAATTTTCTGTTTGGTACACTATATTTTTTGTATAATGGGTTTTAACCAACGGAAAAAAAGAGTAGGTTTTGTTTGTCTGCATATTTTTTATGACCTTATATTTTGGAGATCTTTTTGATCATACTCGTAGCCTTAGTTTCAACAAAAATGAAATGATCAACTGACCAACTAAGGTGCGTAAATAAAAATCGGATACTTCTGCAAGTCTTACGCCAGTTAGAATATTTACTGACACAAGCTACGAGTACCATCAAATAGGTGAATAGCCATCCTCAAATCATTTATCCGACTTAATAAAATGCGTTATTGAAAAAAAAATATTTTGAAAAATTGCAAAATACAAAAACACAAAATGGCAATGCAATAAATACATTTTATTTCAATCAAATTATTTATTTCTGTTTTATAGTTATTGAATAATAACATAGTTTTTTTACAAGAGTAGTTTTATTTTACAATATAATGTTCATAAACAGTAATGTGCGACATCAAAGTATCAGTCAAATAAATAACTTACTTAAAATTATTCTCGTATTTTTTTTTCGATAAATGGCAAAAGTACTACATTACTTTGGTGTCTTGCCGTACCGCACCCAGAATGGGAGAACCCGGGTCGCGTGAAACGCTGCCTTACTTTGAAGGTTGTATTTAGTAACATTATAATTCGCGTTTAGGATTTATACTATATTCAATAAATCCTGTTTACTGTATTAGCGTATAGTTTTTTATGTGTGTA